GAGTGCAAGTGCAAGGTGAATCAGCCATCTCATATTACTATACAAGGATTATGCAACGAACCGCTGACTTACTGCTGTTTATTATTAATTTTCCTTATTTGATTATTAAAATCAATCTATACTAATAAGTTTGTGAGTTTGTGACGTTGTAGGGGGTAACCTCTAGATCTACTGAACCGATTTAGATTAAATTTGGTACGAAGATAGTTTGAGACCCTGGGAAGGACATAGGATACTTTTTATCCCGGAAATAATCCCGTAAGGGGGTGAAAATGGGGATGAAAGTTTGTATTGGGAATCAAGCCAGGGACGAACTTGAGCGAAGCGTGGGTGAGTCGCTAGTACATATAATCGAGTCTGTACATTAAATATTTTTTAAAATTATATATCTTTTAAAATTACGAAAACTTGAAATTATACTATACTTTACCTCAATATTCTAAAATATTCTCCTCAGTATTTTTCTCGCATATAAATAGTATTTAGAATAAACTAGCAAAAATACTAATCTTACTTATTTCATTTATTGACATTTTTATCTCAGATTTGATATTACCTTTAACATACAAACAAACAATTCGATGTATTCTCTTGTGTTGAAGTTATATAAAACATGACTAGATTGAGGTATCATGTCCTTCTTTACTATTGCATTATAGAAAACGCCTAGAAATAAGTTTCAGACTCATTTTCTTAAGTGAAGTTTTACGATTTAGGCGAGCATTTTTACTGTCAAGTGTAGTGTTTTAGTACAAAATATAAATAATTTGAAATAAAAATTGCACAGAAATATTTTTAGTATGTAAAACTTATTAGTACGTATAGTGTTATATAGAACAAAGCTTAAAATAAAAAATGAATCTTTTTTAAGAACAATCACATCATCTTACAAAAATTGACTTGTACCTGTGTTCTAAACTATTATTGCGTCTTTACAATCTTTTACCGTTTATTTTGCGATATCTATACCTACATATAATAAAATTCTGAGTCAAATCTGTACATTAAATATTTTTTGGAAAATCTTATTGGAATAGACATTATTATCGACACAGAGTCCGAATCTATAGTTTTTAGCATTTTTGTCTGTTTGTCTGTCGTGATCGCATCACGAAGAAACCACTGAAAAGATTTTGATGAAATTTAGTATCATGATAGCTGGATATCCGGTTCAACATATAGGATACTGTTTACTACGGAAAAATATCTAATCTCTGAGAAATCTATACTAAGCGTTAAAACGTAAGGCGGGACGAACTCGAGCGGAGCGAGGGTGAGTTGCTAGTTATTATAATAATTTAAAATACTCAATATAGATAGTATACTATATTAGAGGAATCGGATATTTTATTACTACGCGATGTTACTATTAAATATTAAAATACTTCAAAAAAACCAAAGCAATAAATAAACTCATACAATAATACATTTAAAACATAAAAAAAGTTTTTAAAAGTAACAATAAAAGGGTCGAAAGACATTAGAAGGGCGACTCATTTGCTTAGTCCGTGTCCTCTGCCTAATCCACTTTTAATTTTGATTAATGCTCCCCCGAGCCCTGAGTTGAACTGCTCCAAATACAAAATTAGGTCTTTTTGCATTGTCGTTGTTTGCGGCTTAATGGATTAATGCGAGCGAAGATCGAAACAGGAATTGTTGGGTGACTTTTATGCAGGAAGTTAGTGACTTCTACTTTTTTTTTCGATATAAAACACAAAAACAAGTTCGCCGTGGCTACGTTTGTGTATATAGTGATTTATATACATGTATTCAGCCTTTATGATGTCCCACTCCTGGGCGTGGACCTCCCCTTTAATGAGAGGGATCAATTATAGTCCAAGGGCGGGTTGGAGGACTTCGTGTTATGTCTTTCAAAAACTCGCTAAGTTCTCTCAGACGCGTGACGTGCAGTTTTCTTATCGATATTTTTCTTCATATTTCATCATAAAGCAAATCGAAACTATGTTGAAAATAATTCGTATATATACTCGAGAATATCAGAAGAAGGATTTGAACCCACTTAAATTGGTTTCTCAAGCGGTATAAAACATGATTCGGACTACGTAATTCCTTTGTCAACTTGTTCTCATCCTTTTAGTTTTTTTTTTACGTTTATAATTTAATTTTTGATTGATTTATTTTTAAATTTATCATATCGTATATTTATTTAAAACAATTTTTTTGCGAGTGCCTGAGAACCTTTTTAAGCAAATAAAGTTGGTTAGTTATCGCAAGTAATATTACACCGCAGCACTTTGTGATGGAGTATCAAATTTTACCCGAGGGAACATCGCGCTAGCCCGGACGTCAGTACAAGTTCATTTTAGATGTAGTTTTTTTAATGTATAGATGTCTGGATGTATAGATGTACCTATGTATATTTCCTACTCTTTCAGGATAAGACGGCTGAACGGAATTTGATGAAACCTGATGTTAAATAGGTTACTTTTAGGCACCTAGGGGAACGCCCGTGTGAAGCGAGGATAAAGTATTCTAATATGTAAGTTAAAAATTGGCATAACATAATATCATGTTCTAGAAAAACAAAAACAAATCTATCCAACGGGAACCATATATATTTCCGTTATAAAAACTAGCCTGTGTTATTCTGATATATGAGCTATATTATTGTTAAGGTTTATTAAAATCCATTCAGTAGTTTTTGCGTGAAAGGGTAACAAACATCCATACATGCATACAGCCATACATCCTCACAAACTTTCGCATTTACAATATTAGTACGATTTATAGGATTTAATTGGTATCGTTTAAACATCATCATCCTCGTCATGCAAACATGGAGTATAAACCAAGCTTTACATGACATTCAATATAACATGTATAAGTTGTAACCAACAGATAGATAGATAATATTAGCAATACGATGGGCAAAGTCGTTTTATTCGTGACGGTAATAAAGGACCACACGGGTTGCGGAAATCCGCCATTGCGTTTAAGTACGGGACGCGACATCGAGAAATGGAATTCTTACACGACATAATTATGAATGTGTGAAGTATTTACTCTTTTAAAGTTTATAGCTTGGGATGTCATGGACGCTTTTTTATTTTGGGTAATAAGGTAATTTGATTTTAGTTTTCTATTACTAAAAATTACCTAATTAATTTTTTTACCTACTTAATATACCCGTACCTATATGTGATTAGTGTATCTATATATGTAGGTATATCTAAACATATAATAAAATTCTAACTAAGTCGAATCTGTACAATAAATATTTTTTGTAAAATCTTATTAAAATAGACATTATTATCGATACAAAAGCCGAATCTATAGTTTATAAAATTTTTGTCTGTCTGTCTGTCTGTTACCGCATCACAAAAAACTATTAGAGAGATTTTGATGAAATTTGGTATGGTCATAGCTGGTTATCCGGGTCAATATATAGGATAGGTAATTTTTACCACGGGAAAATTTCTCATTTCTGAGAAAAAAATACAAAAATTGGTTAGAATAAAACCACGATGATACTTTATAATATATTTTATTAAGTTAACTTACTAAATAACGTAAAAACTATTAAAAATAGCTTATCTTGAAAAAAAATAACAATAGCGCTATTTTATTTGGTTTTTGGTCATCTGAACGCGGGCGGAGCCGCGAGCAATGCTAGTAATGTATAAAAGTAAAGTATGTATAAAAGTTGGCATGTTTTTTCATAAGGTAGGAGGTATTTATTCACTAAGAATGGATTTTTTAGAAACTCAACTCCAAAATGGTAAATACGAAGAAAAGGTACAGGAAAATTTTAGGAGTATAATTTACATATACATAAGTACCTATTAAATATTAAATTTCTTAGATATTATGTAAGTAAATATAAACACAATACAAAATCGATGGGCATTCAGACAGTACATATTTTAATCCGACACATGGAATACGATATTTAAAGGGGGTGGTAACGGGTTCAAATTCTTTATGGATAAAATATTGGACTGTTTACGCCTTGACACAGAATGCCATGTGGGCGGACTTGCTTTACAGCCTACCAGCATGCACAATAAGGAAACGTGTATAAAGTTTTCTGAAATATTACAAATATTTGTTTCTTAAAAATAAAATTGTTATTTTGATTAATAGTTTAATAAAAAAAAATATTATTAAAAATCCTTACAACAAAATAAAAAATCAATTTAGGCATCTCCGAAAATTATTGGACAAACAAACAGACAAAAATTAAAATATATTGTTCTTTGAAGTATGATATAACGTGCAAATAATATAAATAATAAATGAGGCAACAGTTTCAAATTAAAAGTTATTTAATTTTATACTAAACTAGTGACCCAGCCTTGCTTCGATCGCGGGCCTCGGTGATTTTTTCTGGCTAAAAACGTCTAATTATTTAAATTAAATCTTAAAAAATTAAAATGGGGGAAAGGATGATTAAAATCGGTTCAGTAGTTTCAGAGTTAATATACAAACAAACAAACAAATCCTCTTTATAATCTAATATATGTATAAATATCTCGTGTCACGGTGTTTGTGGTCGCACTCCAAACGGCTCGACCGATTTTAATGATTTTTTTTGTATATTTGGTAGGTATGAGAATAGGTCGTAATGTTATGTGGCGAGAGCAAAATAAGTCTTTTTAAAAACTAATTTATTTATTAACACTGAATTTAACAAGATTTAATATAAAGAAATTGAATTATTAGAAATCGTAATAAACTTATACTAAAGAAACAGAGTAAAGATCTTGAACGAAGTTAGAAATAGGAATCTCTTTATTTCGGGAGTGCGGGAGTATTTATATGGGTTTGGAATAGGAGGGGATAATTAGTGGTGAGAACTATTTTACATAACAAATTTGTTAACACTAATTAAGGGCTAAAGGTTGTTAAAATAATGATTATTTACTAATGATCTAAACACAATATAGAAGTACACAGTAGATAAGAGATTTATATAATATATGTGAGTACATGTCCAATAATAGGTATAGGTAAGTGCATATGTAACACCTCCCCTCTTAGAATAAAGATCGGGCCTTAGGTGTGCGCGATCTTGCAGTTGTAGGTAAATTTTCGTCTTCATCTTCATCTTCTGATAGTGCGCTCGTGTTGATTGTTGCTAACGGGATGCTCTGGCGCTGACGAGAGTTGTCAAAACAATTGTTAAATATTTGGATACAGCCTGATTTGGGCTGAAGATCTCGTGGGTTTCGATTTCGAGTCCAGAAATAATGCCATGGGCAGCATTTGTAAAGTAGAAAAATGAGCATTGATGAGCCCAATGCCATAGCGATGAAAGAGAATTTAGGACTGGAGAAATTACTATTGAAGGAGTTCTGTTGTTCCTTCAGAAGTTGTTCTTGGACTTTAATTTGTTCTTTAATAATATGTAGGGAATCTAAGGGAACATTTTTCACCATTATAGGGTGTAACTCAGGTGGAATTGGTTGTCTCAAGGTTTCAGGAAGACAGGCATCTTCAATGTCCACTGTGATGATCGGGTAAGTCAGGTTCGTCATCGTATCCTCTTCTGCGTTGAGTGTCACAAAAGCGGTGTAAAATTTGCATCCTGATTTCAAGGAAATTATTCCGGAGCCAGAGATTTCTTGATGTTCTATTTGGTTTCCGCATTCAACTATGCTTGGTGTCTTGAATCTCAGTAGAAATATCCACTGGTTATTTCCAATGGATTGAAAGGTGTCCACATGTGCTGAGAAGGTTGTCAGTTCGCAATTACTTGGCGGTTCCTTGCTGGACGATTGTAGTATTGCAATCTCGCATATTGGTCTGGCGTTGTAGTTGTATACTGGTAAGTCCTTGCAAACTCTTGTTTTTGTTGTGAACATCTTGCAACTTTCCAGGATGCTCGTTGTGACGTAACGTTGCAGCGTAGTAGAAGTGGCAAGGTATGTATGCTCAGGGAATAGGGTTGAGTAATAGGAGGAATTGTAATGTTTAATGGGAATAGAATACATGTGATATAGATTAAATTTTTCGTTTTTGACTAAAGGGAATTCTAATATATATACTAGTTTATTGAGGTAAATGTAAGACGTAGGTGTTGTAGATTCTAAAATTTTATGAATGTTTCCTAACGTTATAGGTGCGACTAAATTGTTATTTATTCTAAGATGGTTTGTTGCTAAAAGTTCTTTATAAAGTTTAATAGTCGAAATAATAGAAGGGTGAATTGCTCCTGATTTTATAAACAATATGCTTGTAATTATTTCGTCTAATTCTCTCTCTAAAGAAAGAACTGATTCAAGAATTTGAATTGAAACAGTTGATATTTCTTCAGAAACTTTCAAGTCAAAAATTATTTTATTTGTAGTATTTAAATAAGAGCTAATCCTATTCAGATTATCATTCATAGAATATTCATCGTAAGAAATTCGCGAAATAGTGTCGTTGAAATTAGAGATGGTAGAGGAAATGATCTGTAGTTGTTGGGTTAACACTTGATTATGGTCTAATTGTTGCTTTTCTAGCAATTCAATGCATTGATTATAGTATTGTGCGTCTTTCGCGTCAGGAGTACCTATTAACCATTTTAAAACCGTACCAAGGCCATCCATTAATTCGCGTTTGGCGCGATTATGGTTATTCGTATAGTAGCTGAGTTCATTTAATCTAGTATCTATTTTATCTAAACTGACTTTAGTGAAGGATTTCGTTGTATAAATGCTAGGGGTAATATATTTACTAGAGCTTATGACGGTTTCGTAATTAGCGATCAATCGTTTCAAGGAGTCACGTGAGAGAAAAAGTGGTTCTAAGTTTCTAAATATTACTAGTTTCCAGGAGCTTTCTGAGATGAGGATGTCTCCTAGGGGTTGATAGAATAGGCCAGACTTAGATGGTAGTTTGTTTATAGCCATAAGTGTACTTCCATCAACGTTTATTATTGTGGAGTACCTGAAAGGGATAAAATTTGACTTAATGCTTACGAATTCTTATTGATATAAATATTTTTAAAGAATTTGTATAATTTGTATAAAAGTATGTATAATATAAATTTGAGTATAGATAAAATGATAAAACTAAAATAAGGGTTATTCGTGATTTTAGTGAATTTATCGTTTAAAAGTTGTGGTTCGTTAGATGTGCGATTTTGTGGAATAGGATTGGATATTGATTATATATAAAAATATTATATATATTTTCTGCAAATTGTAATTTCACAGTCATAGGAGTCAGCTAAGTATGCAGTGATGTGTAATTGTTCATTGCCTTGTAACTTACATGTCGGGTCATTTTTGAGATCTGGGACGAAAAGTGATTTGCAGTTGTGATGTTGTAAACAACTTAGAAGGGTTTTAAAATAACTTTCAGAATCCCATGAGTCGAAGTGTGTTGGCCTTGTACAACCGAAAAATATATTTTGTTTGTTATCTGAGACAACTAAATCGAGTTCTTATCTAAGAGTTCACATGAAATAGGAACAATGGGATGGCATTAATAACAGGGGTAGTAATTATCTTATCTACTTTGTTTGCATTTATACAAGTGATTGAAAATGAGTTGTTTACGATGTTGACTAATGCGTGGGGAATGGTTGATGATTGCGTACTAGAAATGCCTATGATCGATACTACGTCTGCAGTGTCTAATGGAGTCGTACCTATTTTATCCCGTCTAATTACTGAAATTCCTGCACCAGTATCGATGAGAAGGGTGACAGGCTCACCTCAGTTTGTGTAGACGCATCTTTGAACTGTCTCCGATAGACTGGTGATGCATCAATGATTTCCTTAGAGATAGTTGGGCTGTGTCCCCGATGGACTGGATTTGGGTAAATACGACTAAGATTTTGTTTAGGTAAAGCGGGTTTCTTTACCATTGAATTTGGGAGTGTTCTAGAATTAGATTCGGTGTCGGAGTCTGAATCGTTGAGCAGGATGAAGCGGTTTCCAACGAGCTGCTCGCCTCGCTGGTCACTTCGGAGTTTAAATTATTCACACGGGGTGCTGGTAACGGAGCTGGTAAGGCGCGCTGTGTCGGAGTGCGCATTTGTGTGGATGGAGCTGGTAGTGCTCTATATATCCCAGGTTGGTTATTTTGAATACTATTATTGTAAGCTCTTTTCGACATTCCGAAATGAGATGTCCGGGTTTTTTGCAATAATTACATATTTTATGAGGTGTATGCGTGATATTAGGTTTGGTGTAATTTATGCGATTAGTATCGCTTGGTTTACTTGGTTTATGATTAAATAAATGAGGCATTCATTGACCTAATCTTGTCTTCCTCTGTCTACCCTATGATAATAATCTTTCTCCTTGTTTTTGAAACATAGATTGGAGTTCTAAATTTAGGTGTGATATTGTTTTGACATTTGAAAATTTCTCTATGAGGTAAGACTTAAGGTCCTCCCAAAAAGCATATTGCCTACAATGTATATCTGGAGCACCCACTCCTGTTATATTGTTGAGAGCATAGACGAGAAGGAATTTAGTGATTTAGAAATTGAACAAGGTTCGTGTTTGATAGAATGTATAAATTAAAAATACACAAAATATAGGTATGAGCAGACAAATTTAGCCACTTACCACAATAACGTAGTAAAGATCTTGAACGAAGTTAGAAATAGGAATCTCTTTATTTCGGGAGTGCGGGAGTATTTATATGGGTTTGGAATAGGAGGGGATAATTAGTGGTGAGGTAAAGTATTTTTCGACCTCCTACCCTCACCCTCCATGTTTTAATCACGATTTTAGTATTTTTGTATGAACAATATTATATAAATATTAAATATATAGTGTGACATAAAGCTAAAAAGTCTTTTTTTGTAAATTGAACGCGGGCGTAACCGCGGGCTCTGCTAGTATCACTATAGATATGTGTAGATATATATACTCGATTCATACAATAGATAAGATAACAAACAACGTCTTAACTACGTCTAGAAAAGAAAGATAAAATTGGAGGACTAGGAGCAAATAAAATAGCCGGCTACCAGGCGAACATAACGGGGGTGGGGGTGCTTCCGCGCGGAAATAGGGCTCGTTCCGGTCGCGCTAATGGCGCGTACCACCGATGTTATACGCCTGTACTGCGGCGACAATTTACTTGGCGTATAAGTAGGAAAATCAGAGATCGTATTATGTATTTAATCTAGGTATATTTTTTTTATTTCATTTATTTTAATATATTTAGGAAATATACAGTGTAGTATTACTTAGAATTAATCAATTATATATAAAACACAAACCAGCAAAGTTTCCAAAAGAGCAGTAGAGAAATTAATTTAGTATCTGTATTTAGGTATTAATAAAAGTTATCTGGTTTATCTGTGGAGTAAGTATGAACTCTTACAATAATTAATTATTTACACAACAAGCTTAAATTAAATAACATTTTTTGAGGAAGTTCACATATAATAAAAACAATCAAACATTTTTGTCTGTTTGTCCGTACCTGGTTCTACGGTTTAGCTGGATTTACTCACCCCATTATCTATATATACAATATAAGATTCTTACTTAGTAGTGTTGTATTAATACGACAAACGTAAAGAAAGACATTCGGTATAATAGACTATCTTAAAAGCGAGCGAATCCAACAGTTATATTATATACAAGTTGTTCATGTCTAAAGTTACCGACTCGTGTTACGTAGTTATGTAGATGCTAAGCCGTGCCCCGGGCCGCGTTTCGGTCGAGGTGCTGACGGGAGATACTACGCTCAATATATTTTGATACTTGAATAAATATAAAATCCTTTTTTGTTAATTTTATTTATTCATTTATTTTTACAGTGTTGCAAGTGTGTATTTTTTGGTCTATCATGTTAGAGGTACATTTGAAATTGAAAAAATTGTCGTAATAAAAATTTTCTGCGTTCTATTTTCTTCCTTTAAAACCAAACCTTCAATATATTTTTTAATACTTCTACTACCATCCATACTAATGTTATAAATATGAAAGTTTGAGAGGATGGATGGATGTTTGTTACTCTTTCACTATAGAACGGCTGAACGCATCTATATCTAGAATAGCACATAGTTTACTTTTTATCCCGGAAAAAATGTACGGTTCTCGTGGGATAGATCTGTTTTTGCCTAGAGACGAACCCGAAGCGAAGCGAGGGTGAGTCGTTAGTATAATATAATAGCTTAAAAAAATTCCAAAATAATTGTTTATGATTGAATATTTTTTCCTGTGCATCTAAAATTATTATAAAAATACCCATACTAAAATGAGCAATTAGCATTCTGTATGTTATTTTTACAACTATCAAATCCATTCAAAGCACTACTTCCATACGCAAGTTGAATGACAAGTTCCCACCCAGATGTTCACTGACAGTCGGGGCAGACCCCTCGGGCGTCATGTCACCCTCATTACGCGTCGTGTGATACGCACTTAAAGTTCACAGAAAAGCTGATTTTACCCCATAATCATTTAAAATATTATTTAAAATAGTAATTTCACTCATATCTTTGTTAAAAAAGCTAGACTAAAAAAAGTTTTTTTTTATTATAATTGTAAAAAAAAAACAGTTGGTAAAATTTGTAAGTTACATATCAGTTAAAATGGCGAGTGGATTTTTAAAATAGAGAATAACTAATAAAAAAAATTAACTTCTTGTAGGTATTCTAGAAAAAGAAAAGAACCCACGTGATTATAGCCCGAGAGGCGAGCGACCAAAAACTGCTAACATTTTCTATAGGCTGATTTTTTAATATTACGTCACATTGGTGGAGTAAAAAAATTACAACTCTAACGCGTGACGCGCCCGGTTACAAGAATTGCACGACTGACGACCGTAAAACTTATTTTTAAATAATATACTGAGCTTTTAGAAAATGATTGCAGTTTTTGGTCGCTCGCCTCTTAGACTAATGAGGTAAGAACTTAGTGGCATGAGAGGTTCTCAGATTGAAAGTTAACCCTACATATAACGTGTGAAGCTTTATGTTACATATAGATCACTAGCGATTCACCCTCGCTCCGCTCGGGTTCGACTCTAGATACGTTTTAACCGTTAATATTCGAGTAGTTTTCTCAGACATGAGATATTTTCCCGCAGTTAAAAGTATTCTATATGTTAACACGGATAACCAGCTATCATAAAACCAAATTTCATCAAAATCTGCCCAGTGTTTTTCTCGTGATGCTTTCCTAGACAGACAGACACAAACATTCTAAAAACTATAAATTCGGCCTCTGTATCGATAATAATAATTATTTTAACAATATTTTCCAAAAAATATTTAATGTTCAGAATTTACTCAGTTACAATTTTATTATATCATACAATCTATAGATTACAGATGTTTTCGAAATCTTATCACTATGGTTACGTTTGAAATAAATTTCATACAGCTCTGTCAGCTTGACATCGACATGCTTTCCATTCCATCTCGCAACCACGCGAAACCCATAATATATCACCCACAATATACATATATTATAATGCTTACGTACAATAAATTGTACGAATTTATTGTAGGTTAAAGCGTTGTGATGAACTGGATTGATGACCGCGTGCCATAGTGACGGCTTTTATGTATACTTGGGTAGTTGGGTACTAACAGGTTCGGATTCGTTTACACTTTAGTTATGCTTATTAATAGCATTAAATTTATTTAACTAAAAATAATTAATGAATTCTCTTAAAAGAAAAACGATTAATCTACACGTCTACACTACTAGAGGAAAGATTTGTAATTTTGTACGTTTGTAACGAATAAATCCAAAAAATACTGGACCGATTTAGATGAAATTAGGTAACAAGATCGTTTGTGACCTTTAGAAAGGACAAAGGTTTTTTTTATTCTGGAAATCATCCCTTAAGGGGGTAAAAATGGGGATGAAAGTTTGTATGAGATCAACCGAGGGATGAACCCGAGCGAAGCGACAGTGAGTCGAGTGAGTGAGTGAGTTTTGTAATAAATCAATTATGTCAAAATTTCAAAGAAGAATGCGTATAAATGATTATTTCGCTTAGATTTTGTAATAGAATCGCTTACATTCCTTATCTGCACAGGTACAGGTATCATGCTGGATTGGCATATTCTCACATTTACTGACACTAGATAATGTGGACGTCAGACAATGTTGCGTCACACGTGTACATCTATCTGCGGTACTATATGTTTAAACACGCATTTACATTTTTAATATACGATTTTCAACCTTAACACCCATGAATATAGGTCATTTTACCAGAAATCTCAACTTTGCCGACGACTTGATAGATGCCGGCGAGGCCAAGAGACAGATAAATATCGCTTAAAGTTCCGTTTATATCTTCAGATTTAAAAGGTACAGGTGCTATGGTATTTGTGTATGCGAATATACCATCATGCCTTTGTGTTTATTTATTTTAACACATTTACTGACGAAAGCTCTTATAACAAAATTTTAAAACTAGCTGCGCCTGCAACGAATCGATATTTAACGATCGAATTTAATAAAATAAAACTTAAATGTTACTTCTAGGTTATTAGCTATAGGTATGTCTCAATTTATTAAAATCTATTTAGTAGTTTCGAAATGTGATTTTAAACACATATACAGACAGACAAACAATATTTCTAAAAACGGTAGGAATTTTGTTATTTTTTTGCAAATATATACAATGTACAGACATTTGAAACTTTCATTCTTATTATAGGCATTTATTAAAGACGTGGCTTTCTCTAAAGACTTTTTGACCAACTTCAAAAAGGAAGAGGTACGAATACTTAATTAAAGTGTATTATTTTTTGTATGTGTATTACACGATATCTCCGTTAATAATTTACCGATTTTGATAAAAAAAATGTATTATAAGTTATATTTCAAGGTTATTTTCATATTAATTTTTAAAAAATATTGTCATTTAAGGAGGAATGATTGTGTACCGATTGAAGTAAGAAATAGGTCATTAATAATTATTGCGACTATTACTATTGCACGGGAAAAACTTGACTTACTGAAATAAAATTAACTCCGTTAAAGGATAAACAATCAACATCTCATTTATAATATTAAGGATCTTTCGTTTGTAGCTTTATTCACCGACTTCAAAAAGGAGGAACTCATTTCAGATGTATGTATATTTTGTGTTTATTGCGCGATATTTTCACCAATCGGGAACTGAAT